GAGCTTAGCTGTAGCCTGCACAGATCAGGCTGCTGTAACCATGGAAAAGCTTCCTCCGAGTAGTTGCACACTAACTTACATGACTTAAAGTGAGAGAGCCCACGATCTCCTCTGGCTTACAGGAAAAGCAGGGTTATATCACTCAGTTTTAGCTAACTACAAGTTGTGAGCAGGTCTAATTGCTCTCTCTAACCAGTGTAGAAGAAGGTGTTTTTTCAGGTAGCCTAAAAGAGGTGTGAGATGTAAATGAAGTGAATCACTCTTTGGCATGATCTCTCTCCAAGACACACGTAGCGATTCTTGAACTGGCTGCTACAGTGTCTGCTTTTTTATTTTATAATGTTGCATTTATCTACTGTCCAATACAGTGGACATTTTAGGAAGAAATACTACCAATATAATGAATGTTGTGATTCTACAAGCCACATCCCCACCACCTCCCACACGATTGCCCTCTTGCCTCCACATGTTCCCATTATTTCCCCAATGAATTCAGGTTTGATTTCATTCTTTAAGCCAGATTTTTGCAAGAACTAATTTTACTTACACGAGTAATAACTTCAAGGAACATTAAAACTCATAAAACAGTAATGGAAAGGAGTCTCCAAATCCCTTGATATGCGGCCCTGCTCTCCCAGAAATTTTCTTGCCATCTTATTGAAACCCTCTCTCTTCTCTCTAACAGACCAGGCTGTCCGAGACGATGATTTGTGTGAAATCTGTGCCAATGCTGCCTGCACTGGTTGCTTTTGAATAAGGATGAAACAATCCAAAGAAGATGTGTCAAGCTAGGAAGTTTGTGCATTCATATTGCAAGATGACATACTTTCACAAATCAATAGTTGGGCTCCATCTCCACTACAGTCATACTGGAGCTGCTAGCTCATGTAGACATACCAGAGGTACTCGGATCATGTACCACCAGCAGTGCAGTTCTGGCAACAAGGAGACTGTAAACCTCATCTGAGAGGTTTCAGCTCTGCATGAGTTGTGTCACACTGGAACGAAAATGTCCTGGGCACAGTTTCATTTTCCACGATTTTGTCTGGATTGGAATACAATGGGTGAAACTGAGCAGTCTCCTGCAGCCTTTTTGATGGCTAAATCTGCCTGTGATTTGGCCCTCCCTACATATAACACCCAGCAACATCGGGTTATCATCTTTTCCAGCCCATGCTTTTCAGTGTGTAGGATAACTCTCTCTCAACCTGCAGGTCTGCATGTGACATGCATGTTGTAACAGAACTGCAGCAAGTAACTTGGGGACAAGGTACTGGTGTTTAGCAACACTTTCATAGCCAGAAAATTCTCAGTCTGTCACTTGTACTAATTGTTGCCAGTTTAGGGAATGGTTGTAGAGGAGCACAGGAACACTTTCTACATAGTTGTATGGAAGCTGCCCTCTTCTGGCAGATATTCATGTTCATTTAGGAGAAAGGAAGTCCAAACTGCAATGCTGGAATCACTTTGAAATTAAAACATTGCCTTGTGTTTTTATTTATTGGTGGCAAGATTGTGAAGAAAGGATCTGCCTATGCTTATATGCTGTATATGAAATAAAAGCTAGTAATAATTTGGGCATTTTTTTTTGTTTATGTTTTTGCTGGGTTTTGGGGTTGGGTTTCTTTTGTTTGCTTGCCTACTTGCTTTTCTCCTATATAAGGTCTTTCATGTCTGGGTCTTCACTGGAATAGAAGATATCTTGTTAATATTGTCCTAAACTTAAAACAAGTTGTGGTCCTTATAGAGACCACAGTAATATAAGACTACATCATAGCTTTTAAATTATTTCCTTTTCTTTTTAACTATTGAATTATTATCTCCATTTCATATATATGGGGCCCTCAACTCAGGAACCAAGTTCTCAAAAGACTGTCAATGCTATAAAGCCAAGCACTTGTCCCAGCACTTAAATCCAGAACTGATGTAAAAAAAAAATAATATTAGGTGTATAAATTCCTGTTTCATTTGACAGAAAAGCTATTTGGGTGCAGAAAAGAATCCCTCACATCCAATATGTTGACTACTCCAGGACAAAAAGCATCCAACAGCAAATGCCAAAGAGAGAGTCTCACACTAAGGCTCCTCCTGCTGCCTTGAAATTGGCACCTCTGAGAAACTGGATTTCCTGACTCAAAACACTGCCTGGGCTTATTTTAACCCTAAAGTTATTTCTTTGCATATAGAAATGTGGCTTATTATTTTCTGTTAAAACTAACTTGACAATTCATTAAGTCTTAGCACAACAGCTTGGAGTGGCTCATGTAGAGAGGACAGGTTATGCATTTTGCAAGGAAGGCTTGCTGGCAACAAGACTAGAATCAAGATCTCCCTGCTGATACACTGCCAGTGTTCAAGTGGCGAGAGGGCTGGACTGGGGACCCTCATGTGTGTTCTCCCACAAATCTTCTGCCCCTTTGTAAACAGTGCCCTGCCATCAACAGGAACATTGCAGACTGATTATGGCCTAGTGTGTAAAGCACTGTCTTGACATACAGAAAAGGGGGGTTAAAAGAAGGACTCAAACCTCCATTTTGCACTTGCTGGATGAGATTTCTAATAATTGGGGGGTTATATAGAAGGAGGATTGTGTCTCTGGGGGGGGAAGGGGTGGAAGTGCATGCAATAAAAGAAACAAACCAAGAAAGCCAAGAAACAACAGGCAGGAGTGGAGTTCCAGTTTTGTAGCAGGCTGTAGAAAGCCCACTAGAGAAACCAGATTTTGAGGACTTCATTTTCCAACAGTCTCTGGGAACTGGGGCTGTAGGCATAGCATGCTCAGAGCAGAGCAAAGATTTCATCAGGCTGGGTTACCGGCTCGGCCACCAACCCACTGTCACCTGCACACAGTCAAAACATCAGGGAAACATCCTGCAGGCTTCATGCTTCATGCTTATGCAGAAAACCCAAGCTGACTTGCTGAACTGCTAATGCTGCGTTAAGAGACACTGGAGGTATGTGTGTATTAACTAGCAAGGTGTTATTACTTTAATGGAGAAGATTTGTTTGCTTTAAGTAACCCCCATGGCAAATGCTAGAAGTGCTCCTCCACACAGGAAAGCTGCTGTCTCCTTCTCTGACCCTGTACTCATCAGCATCACCTTCAAGGCCAGCATACTAAACACACACAATGAGAGAGCGAATGAAGGAAAAGCAAGATAAATTTCAAAGAAATATCCTCTAGTTTTCATTGCCTTTATCGACAGAGATAAGACAAGGTCTTCAGCTAATCACAGCCTTTTGCTCAGAAGCAGTAAGCTTCTGGCTCAGCTCAGTTATCTCACCTAATTGCACCTTTTGAGGGTAGAAACTTGTATTCTATTTATGTAAGAAGTCTGTAAAACCACACATTGCAGAGAATGATGCTGTGAACTGGTCCCAGTATCCTTGTCCATGCTAAGAAATAGACTTGTAAGAACAGTAACAACAAAAAAGCCCTACAGACACTTTTTGGGATCATTGTCATAACCTCAAGCTAATGTGAAATGTAGTATGAGACCTTAAATAGAAACAACATGTAAGAATTAAAAATATTCAGGTGATAAGTACGGGAAGCTGTGCCTGATTAAGCAGTATCAGATGAATTCAAGACTGAAGAGTTGGGACTGTTTCCAAATGCTGTCTGGCTTTTTTCCTTCCATAACTACGTTGAGTGGATCCTGTTCAAGGCAAGTTTATTACATAAATTCAGTCTTGAGTTTTAGTACTTTTCACGCCTAATTTAATAGCTCTTGACTTTCAGAAAATATTTTAGTAGGCAATTTCATGCAAGTGTCCCACAAAGATACACTAAAAGCCATTTGATAAGCCCAGTAACAGGGCTAAACCTGCTGCCTTTGCACAGTGTATTTTATCAGAAGTATTCAATGCTTCATTTCTGATTTATGGCTCTTATTGCAAATTGAAATTGTTGCCTTTGCTCTGCTCTCTGTCATGCCAATGGACACGTAATCAGACCAGGAGATGGAAACTCATTACTGAAACTGAATTTATCTCATGAATTTCCTGTGATGAGCTCTTCTAACATTTCTAGTACTTCAGTTTCCTGTTCACATCCTTCGAGGACAAATTTTACTATGCTATTGAATTCTGATCTTAAAATGTGATTTTAAATTTTGGTCTAACACTGGATTTAAAAAAACTTATGAGATAACACCCAGTAAATATGCATTTTGATTCTGGGCTATAAAAATGGAATAATCTTCCAAGTTTGTACCTGGGACTACTAAAAATGCATACAGGTCATACCTTCCCTTATATGCATGAGATTGAGGAGTTCTCTCTTCTATGATCTTATAGATTCTCTCTTGAGATTTGGGGTTTTCCTGAAAGTTCCACCTCCTGGATTTAAGGGATTGGAGAAGAGTTTCAGTTTGTTTTTAACACAGAAAAGTGAGGGGTTTAAGCTTTTTGGTTAGGAATGAAAGGTTCAGGGTATGTCTTGAGCACACATCGGAGCACAAATAATCACAGAATTTTATCATTTTAACAAAAGCTGAGAACTGGTGGGCCAGGCTGAAGATTTTTGAGAGCTTAGGTACATGAGCTTGCCCAGGGAAGAAACCTCAATGCGTAGGCCAGAGGGCAAATGCCAGACACTGATCAGCATGGCCAGCCCCATCAGGGGATCAGAACCCTGCGACATACTCTGGCTGGAACCTGCTGCCTAGTTTAGAGCATTTCACAGCCAACAGAAGCACAAATCTGGATTGACAGGAAGTTTCTAAAGCCCCCAGATGACAGAACTGAAACTGGCCTTTCCTCTAGCACAGAAGCCTGGCAGGCGATATCTTTCGTACATCACAGACACATGTGGAGAGCAGAGCCCCCACTCCAAGGGCTGAGCTCCAAACTCCTCTTCTCTTCCTCCTATCTACATGCGAACCCAACTCTCAGGGAACTGAAAGGGGAAGAAAGTAGACAACAGACATATCTGATCATGATGAAACCTCCTGTGGGTGGAAAGAGAAGCATAGATAAAGAAAGACAACATGGAGGAATGCTCCTGTGTCCTTGCAGCCACAGGTGTGAGGTCTCCCACTTCTGTCCGTGGCATTGGTGCTGAGCATATCCTCAGCCTGGAGGAGCAGAGCCGGGAATGCCTGTAGGAGACATCCTCTTAAACCCAAAATGCGCTTCACTCCACTAACATGGATGAAAGCCATCTCTGTACTCACTCTGTCAGCAATCTGTCAGCTGAACGTCCCCCACCAGCCAGAGTCCTGGCTGCCTGTCCATACACTATTGTCAGGGGTTAGAAAGGTCTGAAGGCATTCCCTGTTGGGATATTGGGAGTTTGGAAGTCAAATAGAGAAACGTTGCTCCATATACAGCTGTTTGCTGCTGCTTCTGTTATCAGCCCATGTTGGAGCTGACCGGTGCACAAGCCAAAAGCAGCAAGTCATCATACAACAGGGGGACACCATGCCAGCTATAAAGGAGTGGCAATGATGATGACTGGCTACTCCTGGGACAAAAGAGAAGCCTCTAATCATGCACTCCTTCCCTCCAAAGAGCACAGAGCAGATCCTGCACTGCATTTTCAAGGTCTTTTGGTGCCATCTGTCAGGGCTCTGAGGGCACTATGTAAGCTTTAATGGTCCTGACAAAGTCACCTGAGGCCTCCACGCACAGCCCCTGCCCATGGGCTTCATTTCAGTGTAGCTCTGGGCCTGCCTGAGCTATATTGTAGGAGTACTGATCTCCACCACAGCCAAAGTACTATAGGAGTACTGGTCTCCACCACCACATGTCTGTGCCTGGCCATGGGCTCTGTTGATCAGGACCCCAATCCATATAGACCAAATCCCTAGCTTGAGCTTGGACCTGTCTCTTCATTATGGACCTGCTTGGTGATCACAGGGCTCTATCTGATCCTCTTTACTGTCACTGGCCCC